GTTCGATGAGCCAATCCGCCGGATAGCCGTCCTGTAGGAAGATGGAGCTGGATGGGGCGGGGAGGGCGTAATGGGTCGTGATGTATTGTACGGCTGTCTTAGTCTGCTGATGGAATAAGGGGAGGAATTGGCTGTTGGAGCGCGTTATGTAGGCCGCGAGCTGGAATGCGGTGGCGATCACAGGCTGAAGGAAGCTGGTCGTCTCCGTGGGTAGGGCTTCCGCAAGATCTGCTAAGCGCTGCATGAGCGGGCGGGCGATGGTTGCGGGGACTTGATGACGTGGGTGGCGTGTAGAGGTGATGTTGCTGTTGGGCTATGATGTTGGAACGCGACGCGGGGCGACCGTGCTGGGTCCAGGTTCCTGGAGCGGAGCTCGCTGGCTAGGGCTGACACATCTAGAGCGAAGCTCTCAAGACATGCTACCAATTTGTAAGGCGAAGCCGTACGAAGAAGCTCTTGGGCATGCTATTCTTATTCTTCATCATCGTAACTCTAAGATATGCTGTGCAAGCGGAAACAAGCAGGAGGTGAAGCCCTGTGCGTAGTCATGTGACTACGCGTATGATGGAGCGAAGGCGTGGCACTGCGTGTGGCAGGGCGTAGCAATTTTGATTACTTTTGATTTTGACTTGTTTTGAAAAGTTTGATTTGTGAATGCTTTCTTTTCTTTTAATAGCTGCTGTTTTTTATACTGACTGTTAATTTCGTTCTGCTCTGGGGCGGCTGCTTTGGGCCTGTTTTCACGCCATTTTCGGCCGCTCCAGCGCAACGCGTTCCGTCCACGGCCCGCCGCCCCAACCGCCACGCCCCAACCACCGTGCACACGTGAGCTCGTGGTGGGTCCAACGATCAGGCGTCTCGCGCGACGCCTGCTCTCTCCCGCTGGCGTTCTGGTCGCTTCGATGGCCACGGTCCTTTTCGTTCAGGGCCACCTGAAACGGCTCCTCTCGATCTTCGGCCTCCTTTTGGGTCGCCCTCCTCACCCTGCCCATCCGCCTAATCCCATCATGGCTCTATATAATGAGCGCCAGCCGCCCCCGATGGCCTCGAGCCACCCCTCCTTCAATCCACATCAAGAGAATACATCCACTTGCACCCCCAGCAAGCCGGCCCTTCTGCGCGGCAAAACACACCTGCTGGTCTTCACCCCTCTGTCCTGTCTTCGCCGCTACTTCCCCCTCTCATCGCTTTATCAACCGTCATCGGTTCGGACCTCCACGGCGCCGTGAACATGCCCAGGCGTCGTCGAGGCACGACTGACCAGTTATCCCCCTTCGCTACGGACAGCGAGTCCGATCGAGGATATGAGACGGAGCTGACGGAGCCCGATTCGGACGCACCTTGCGACAGACGGAAGGGCAAACGCAGGCGTCGACGATTGCGCTACAAGCCCAACACACCGGTCCCCAAGGGCGCAGCTGCCTCTGCTACCGACGACTCAGACGATGATACAGACCCCGAGGATGATACGGACGACGAGATATTGTCAGGGGATGAGGATGACGACTACGCCTTTGGCACCAGGGTCAATATCGCTCGGTTAGAGGATCACTGGCAGCGGTCAGCTCTCTCCCTCTCCCTCTCTGAACCCCAACCTCCGTGATCCAAGACTGACGGGGAACCATCTCCAGATACTGTAGGAAGAAGGCGAAAACCTCCGCGGACCCCAAGTGGTGGGATCCGGTCGACGCTCTCCGCGCCACAGGGCGACGCAATCTGTACCTGTTCCTCAACTGGCGTTTCAAACTGAAATTTGGGAAGGGCGGCCGACGACTGAAGGGGACGAAGAAGTCGAGCTCCCTGGATCTCGACTGGAAGAACTTCATGCGCTACTACGAGGGTGCCACTGGCACCAAGCTCAATGGACGGCTGATGCGGCTGATGCGGAAGGTAAGTCCCACTCCCTATCGGGCGCGCTAATCGATGAGGCTGATCGCTACGGAAGAGCCTTCGACGGCTGGCCAAGAAACACGGGCTGGATACGCAGGAGAAAGAGAAGGACCCGGTGTACGTCGAGGACATGGCTACGCTTCAGGAGACCGTCCTGCGGACGCAGGAGAAGAGATTCTGGCTTGGGCTGCAGCGGATGCAGATCTGCCTCTACAACCTGCTCGGCCTCTTCACAATCAACCGGAAGAGCGCCATCCTAGCTCTGCGATTCAAGGACCTGCGGGTGTCGCTCCAGCGCGACCCCAGCGGGGGGCCCCACCTTCCGACGGTGGAATTGAGCTACGAGTTTACGAAGAAGCACCTCGGCCTCACACAGACGTAAGTTCTCCCCGGTATCATCCCCAGACACGCACACCGGCTGACATCTGACCAGGAACACGTTCATCCTGCCGGAGATCATCTACGAGCCGTCTCTGATCCTCAGTCCGCATGTCTTTCTCTTCGGCATCCTGTTCTTCTTCGATGCGTTCAGTGCTCCCAGTCTAACCTCAATGGCCAAGCTCAGGGGACTGAAGATCGAGGGCGGCCGACAGCAGCTGCCGATCCCACTGAAGCCAGAGATGGCCAATCACTATGTCTTCTGTAGAGTGGCGAAGGAGGACGGCGAGGTCCGCATCTTCCCTGAAGAAACGATGGACCCTTCGTCCTCCGTCAGGGTGATGGCCGAGATCGCGGGTTTTCTGCACGCCTGGTTCAACCATCGCTTCCGGTATGGTGGGGGTCTGATCCTCAACAAGAGTGGTAAGAAGACGCCCTCAGCTCTTTTCGTCCAGATAGACTGCCTGGGAAGCAGAGGCGCTGACACCGATCCATGCAGGATTGGTCGGCGATGCCGAGCAGAATCTAGTCATGAAGCATGCTAGCATCCGCACGTTCCTGGAACACTATATTCCACGCAAGGTGGGCCTCAATATGCAGGCACTGATCAGCGGCTTGGACCCCAATTCCCCTCTGATACGAGCAATCATGCGGATCGGCAGCCTCCTCGACGAACGACGTCCACGGCATCTGACGGATGCGCAGAAGGCGATCGTCGAGCAGGACCCAGAGCTGCAGGAAGCCATCCAAAAAAGGGACCAGGCCAAACGGCGTGCCGTGCAGACCAACGATCCCGAGTTAATCGAGAAGCATAAGAGGCGATCGGCCGATGTCAAGAAGACAAGAAAGCGGCTTCTCTATAAGTACCGGAAACAGGTCCGGGCGGAGTTCGACGATAAGCAAGCCGTGATCGACATCGAACGGCAGCTCTCCGGCGAGGCGGTGGACGAGGAGGCAAAGGAGATGCTACGGGACGAACAGTTGCTCCCGGAGATGATCTATCTTTTTTCAAAGCTCCTGACATGGCCGACATCCAGATCGGTGGAGGGGGAGTTGCGGCGACGGGATGCCGGTGTTGATGGCGTTCAGATGTACTGTGGTGTCTTCGAGGGTGGGCCGCGCCGGGGACGGAGACCAAAGGCCCCCCACCCGCCGCCGCAGACACCCGATGGCACGGACAATAGGAACGATGCTCACGGCGAGGTTACCTCTGCTGGGGGGTGGGATGATGCCCTCCGCGCCGCCGAGGAGCATATCCGCGACGCGAAGAAGCCTCGGGGGTGTTTTGAGTGTTACGCGCACCCCCGGTCGTCGGATCACCGGCGCATTCATCGATACTCGCGGCCGGCGGACCTGGGCCGCCATTTCCGGGATGATCACCTCCGGCATCTCAAGGACGGGGAGCCGGCGTGGTGCAGCTGGTGCCAGATCAAACTGGAACACAAGATGCATGTGCAGAGCCATGCGAAGATGGTCCACCGAGTGCATACATAGGCCGCAAGTGAGGGGGGATCCATTCTGAGTCCACAAAGATGAAATTACGAGGTCGTCTACTGGAGCTGGTAAGGGGCAGAATGTACAGGAGGCACAATATGCACGTGGACCTATGCTTCGTTGGATTGATCAACGGTAGAGTCCTCTTTCCACCAAGTACAATCCACTTCCCTGTCCGACTCTTCCCTTCTTTAGAGATGCCCGCGATGGCCCTGACAGCCGGCCTGTCAATCTTTCCTTCTCTACTTATCTCTGCTTCTTTCCCTTTATTGTTTTCTTTCTTTTTATTTTGAAATCTCCTCTTCTCAGTGGTTCTAGCTAGTTATGAATACAGTAGAATCCTCTAATTATTGCCATTATGATAAGAAAATTTAATCTCACGTTGACCTATCACTTGCATGACCGGATATACCGTGTAGGATCTATCTTCAAAAACACAATGCTCCGCCAACAACACGCCAACATCAAAAACATCTTGAGAGTGAGCCGGGGAACAGAACTGAGGTGCCAATACAGCTCGCATGTGCAGATCTGCTTCTTCAATCTCGATTACACTCGTTTAGCTGTACATCCCATACAACCAAAATCAACCGTCTGTGTTCTGCCTAGTGGCTCTTGATAACACCAACGATAACCTGGCGACACATTCCGCAGGTTTCACCAATGGGGGGAGTGCATTCCGGGCAATACCGATGTCCACACAGAAGGGTCCGCCACCCTGATGGGATGGCATAACAGATCCGGCATCGACATTCATGCTCTAGCTCACGGAGTTTGGTCTCAAGCTTGTCAACCCGCTCATTCTTCCTAGCCATTTCCGCACGCAGGTGCCGCACTTCTTTCTCCAGCGTCACTCTCTCCGCATGCTCCGCCTTGAAAATGTTATGGATTTCCTGGTTCGCGGTTTCCTATCTCATTATCAGCCAAGAAGGAGCCCCGCCATGGACCCTACAGGGAGGAGTCTTACCAATACCATGTCCAGGTTACGTCTTTTCGGTGGCTGCCACATTTCGGAGGGTGCCGGGTCATCAAATTGAGCCTCATACATAGGATAGCTGTAGTCTGTGCGGGGTCTCTTTCTTCGCAGCTTTCGCGCTGGGGGCTGGCATTCATTCATCTCGGAATCTGAACTGATGGTGACAGTGTGATGAAGCCCGTCGTGGGGAATATCAGCTGACGCCATGATTGAAAGATGGTGGTGCTCAGGAAAAACAAAGAGGAGGGATGAAGAGCACTGCTGTCGGTCTTTTTATGTTCGCTCGGTCGTCCTCGAGTACGCAAGGGCCTCTCGGTGGTTGGTGTCTCGCGGCGGTGTGGGTGGAGAAGGAATTGGAAGAGAGGCGGATCCACATTCTCAGGATGAGTCGAGATAATAAGGAGGAGTGAGAACGGAAGGACTTGAGGGGGAAACCACGCATATTTATACCCGGTAGGCACAGCCGCCTCACAAGACCATCCACGGCTGGTGGCACGGCAAGTTGCGCTCGACCAGGAAAGCCGAGCCGACGCCGTATATCGCCTATCTATTGAACAAAATACGGTTAGGGAAATCATGTCCTCAGGGACAGCCATGTCCCCAGGGAGAGCAGTGTCCCCGGGGAGAGCAGTGTCCCCAGGGAGAGCAGTGTCCCCAGGGAGAGCAGTGTCCCTAGGGAGAGCAGTGTCCCCAGGGAGAGCAGTGGCCCTAGGGAGAGCAGTGCCCCAGGGCCACTTTTCCAAAAAGGACCGCAGTAACAATCGGCTCGCGCCCCTATTTCGGGACCCAGGGCAGTTTTGGAAATCCGGCCATTCCTGAGCTATATTTGCACCACACGACCCTCCACTACTCCGAGAGTTCCCAGCCCGGTCCCATTCAAAGCCAAATTCCTTGAAAATAAAACGCGCCTCAGATCATTGACCATGAGCCGCTTGTGTTCTGTTCTCCATATAGGCGCAGGCGGGTTGGGCCATGCAAAACCATCGCGGGCATCTCTACAGAAGGGAAGAGTGGGTGGCTCCGCCTGTGCATCGTGTGTTCCAGTTGATGCACCTGGAAATGCCTGCCCAGGTCGACCCGGGATGCGCATCACTCAAAACAACCCCGAGGCTTCTCCGCGTGGCGGATGTGCAGCGGCACGGAGGACATCATCCCACACCTTTGGGGAAAACCTCATCGAGATTATTGTTCCCGTGCTCAGTGTCGCGGGTGCTTGCCGGGGAGAGGGGGGGAGGGAGCGCCGATGGAGCCTTTGGTCTCCTTCCCCGGCGCTGTTCTCCCATGGACAGGGAGGTGAATCAGATGATCAGTATTCTGGTCTACAGCCAACCCCCTGCTGCTGCCACAGGATGCATGGTCTAGTGATTGAGAGGCGGCTGTGCTTTCACTACGGGTATAAATACGCGTGGTTTCCCCCCTCAGCTCTCTCCATTCCCCTTCTTTCTTATTATCTCGCTCGCACTTGCTCCTTGCCTACTTGTCCTGACAGGATGACTAGAACCCGCAGACAAGCCATGGCCGCTGAAAAGGCCAATGCTCTTAACCTGCGTTCCAGAAGAGTCAACCGCGCACACGCATCCCATCGTTCCCCTATAGCTCGTTCTCGCCGCCATCATCTTACGCCCACAAGGCCACAAACTCACGGGGAGGGTGACAGCCGTAGCTCACCCAATCTGGTGGAGGATCGGGATCAACCTTCTCCTGATGACATGATGGAATCAGACATGCATCAACGTGTTAATGATAAGTGTAAGCGCTTGCAACTTCTCCCGCAAACATATCTAATAGGTGAGCAGATGAGGCAGATCCCGTGTGCAGTTCAGCCCAGGGACAAAGTTTGAGCACCCACGATGTGGCTCCCTGCTCTGATGGCAATGCGGAAGTTACTCTTGCCGACAGTGTAGCTTTGGCGATGGAAAACACATACGACGACAAATGGAACTACCACGGCCCCGTTGACCGTCGATACTGCGACATCCATGATGAAAATGAGTATCTATGTTGCTTCGACCCTACTTGGGTATCACCGTGGAACTTCGATGATCCAGAAGTGGCGAGATCAAAACTGGAGGAGCTGTACAACATCAATCAGCAGAACCCGCAGGAATCATGGTCCTCAAGAGTTGGGTGCGATGTTCCTGAACTGCTGGACCATATTTTCTGTGTGACAGCGAGGGGAACAAGAGGTATGAGTGTTTACTTTGCACACTGGAAAGACCAATGGTTCCGGGAGAAGAATGTTGGAAAAGGAGAGTATGGATCATGGGAGCGAAGCTACAATATTAGTGGTGGTGATATGGTGATATATATGAGATGAGTCAGATAAATTGAAGCCTTGGTTCCTTCAGCAGTTGACAAGTGAAAGGTGGTGGCCTGTATGACATATTGATGGGGTAAATGAAAGCTAGTAATTATAAATTTATTTCACAGCTCTTCTCTTGTTAATCTGCATCCAATCCAAATCTCCTTGATCGCTCCAGACGGCTGACGGCCGTCTCAGCAGTAGAAAGGCAGAATACTTTTGCATGCCATGATTCGCGTTCGACATCGCTGAGGTCAAAGTGTGCTCTTCAAGGGGGGGTTCGCGAGCATCAGGAGGGAGAGAGGTCTGGGCGTTCTCTCCCGGGGCAATGGTATCCGAAGTGTTATCATGGAATTTCAAGGTCTGGAAATGTGTGTGCTGGCCAGGATAGATATAATGAAGAAGAAATAGTAAAGTGAAACGAAGTGAAGAAACCAAACATAGAAAACGAAAGCGTCAATTGCTACACAAATCCAAGCAGCTAACTAACTAGAAATAGAAAGGTTTCGTGAGGTTGGGCCATCTTGAATCAGTGCTGACATAATCCACGTGACCTCGTTCGACGACATTCGTTATTCCAGTAGGCTGCCAGCAGTTCCAACCCTCCATGCTCCTGCAAATCGTCCAATGTCATCTTGGCATACACCTTGTAACCCCCGGGAACCCTCTCTAAATTTCGTTGAAGGGATGGAATGGCGACAAACGGATCGGAGTCGCTAAGCAGGTTGGGACTCATTGGCTCATCGATGATGATTGGGTCTTCTGCGAGAGTGAGTGAGGCGTGAGAAATGTTTTTCACAGAGCAGGTACTGAGCCTTACCAGCAGAACCCAAGCACTTCCACGGCTTTCCTTGTGTGCCATATCCGCGTGTTTCTTGTAAATCTATCCGTCCTACTATCTGGTACATCTCATCCCCGTCTCGCTTATACACCAGCTTCAGAATCTTCACCTGAGAAAGGGGCAAGATAATGTATTCCTGATTATGCAGCGTCTCCCCCAACGCATCGCCTTCCCAACGGTCGGACACCAGGGGCATAACTTGCTCTGATCGGTCGGCTTGGACGTGGCGTTTCTCGCCCAGGCGTGGGTCAGCCTCACCATCGGAGTAATTCAACTGCTCCTTCGATATGTTGCCTTCACGATCATCTGGGGCCAGGGAAGGGGTTGGCTCTCGTTGATTGGGTGGGTCATCAGCAACGTCTTTCGGGCTTGGGTCCTCGATGGGGTCGTCAGAGAAATCCGACAGTTGGAGTGACGGTGGGGGAACATCGACTGGGGGGGGCAGGATCCATTCGTTCCAGTTAATCTCATCGAGACCAGAGACGGTGGATGGCAGGGCAGAAAAATCAGCAAATACCTCACTTGCTGCATCCTTAGAGAGGTCACCGGACGCAGAGAAGAGGGGCACGGGCATGGGCATGGGCATTGGAAGGAGGTGCTGGTGCACTTCGTCTGACCGAGGATCAGGAGTGTACGCCCACAGGAGGTGCTCCATGTGCAGCCGAGGTGAGGGAGAACGGTTGGCAGGTCCAGAGGAGGTGATATCGTACGTGAAGGTAGCCATGTTGTGAGGTGAGATGATGGGATGCTCTTCTCCCTCGATCTCGATCCAGGAGGCACTGGAGGTCTTTATATGTCTCACGATCAACCCCCGCCTGCGAGCAAAAATAGGTCGAGGCTAATCGAGGAGGGTAGGAAAAATAGTAGCTGAGATGTGTCTTGCGTGGATCGCCAATCATCCACACCGAAGAAGCCGCCGAACCGGGGAATGTTGCATTGATGGGGTGGGCTAACGCAGAAGTGCTCCTGGCCACCACCCCCATGCCAACATGGGCTCTCGTCCAGTGAATATCAGCCAGTCAACCTACTCAGCCCCCCCTTTTCCCCCTGGCCATGCGCCAGGAAGTCGAATCCACAAACCGCTAAACCCGGGGACAAGGAGCACGGGGGCATGCATGAGGACGGCCGAACTTCACCCAACCATGTGTGCCAGTCAAAAGTGCGCCTGACTTCGTCTCTGTGCTCGCTCGACTCTAAGCGAAAACACCAACATGAAGCAATATCCAAGGCGCGATTTGCATCCGAGGTTTATCATTTTGTGATACACACCCCCACGAGTGCGGTTTGGCAATCCCATAGGGGCTTTATACGCGAAAGCGAAATGAAGGGAAATGCCAAATGCAGCTCATCCTCTGGCCCTATCATCCATGCCGGCTTCTCCAAAGGGCGCAGCAAGGTGGGCGTCAGATCAAGCAAACGTTGGACTCTCATCCAGCCAACATCGACCAGTTGAACGGGATTCCCCCGCACTGAATCAGCGCTCATACCAGTCAAACCTTTCCCCAACCCTCCTGATATGCCAGGAAGTTTAACCGGCAAACTGTTCGATCCTCTCCTCCAGTCGATAAGGCGAGGGACATGGGACTGGCATGTAATGGAAAGACGGAACTACACCCGCAGCCAATCATCTGCGCCTGAACCAGTGCAGAAGCATCCCTGACTTCACCCCTGTGCTCTTTTTTGCGAGAGGGCGCAGCAAGATGGGTATCGGGTCAGCCCGCCCTAGCGTTCCCTTCAGGAATTAAGGACCAGGTGGAAGGGATTGCTAACAGACAGTGCAGCCAGTCCAGCCAACATGGGGTTGAGGTATAAAGGGCTATAAAAGGTCTCATTTGAAATTCAGCCTTCGCCCTTCTCCAAATCTTTTTCCTGCTTCAAATATTCGCCCATCTTGCTTCAAATATTCTCTTCCTCCTCTGCATCTCTGCACATCCTCAGCATGGATAGACAAGGAGCCGAGGGCCCTCCGCCACTACCCAGTCAACTTTTGTCGCCCGGTGCGCAACAACCCACTCTTCCAGCTTATTGCGAGATGTTGGGTGACTTTCTCCAAAAGGCGCCGTTTCAAACCAATACCTCCAGTAAGGGTTTAATGATCTCTCCCTCTTTATTGTCTGTTTTGCTCCTCATAATGCGGCCTTCTATTTCTATTTCTCATCTAAGACTGCAGGATCCCTCAACGTCCCGCCTGAGCGGCTGTCTGTTGACAGGACCTCAAATAACCGGCCTCAGCCTCCTGGTGGTATCGAACTCGACGGCCGAGACAATATCTCGGATTCTGGGGCTACGACAGAACCGTTGGCCCATGATGAATTGGAGAATCTTCCCTATTGGTATGAGGCGCAGCAGGTTGAAAAGAGCCTTAGGATTTGTCATGTCGGAGATAAAGTATGGCGAAATAATAAATATGTTCACCGTGTGCTTTATGAGAAGGAAACATATCTCCCAGACCATTGGCTCCCCGAAAATGCGAGGCTCCAGCTGCGGAAGGAGGAGCAAAAACAAAGACGGAAGGGGGAGAAACAAAAGAAAAGGAAGGAGAAGAAGCAACAAAGGAAGGAGGAGATGCAACGAAAGAGACGTCTGAGGACATTACGTCCTCGACCATCAACACGCAATTAATGGAAGATGGGATGTCAAACCGCTCATTTCTTTATTTGATATTATAATACACAGTCATTTGTCCATCTGCCTCTTGCATTAATTAGATGATACTGAAGTGGTGGCTAGTATAGTCGAGTCAACATCTTGCTCCACGTCTCGCCCATCTGCCGGAACGCCCTAATATGGATCCCCCCCCGGGAGTCAGTGAAGTGGTGGCCCACGACCAAAACTGTAATTCCCCTATGGGAGTTAGGGAATTGGGAGAATGCTGATGAAGGCAAACCCTCAAGGAGAGTCACAATTTTGCACAGGGGCCAGTAAGGATGGAACCCCATGCGGTGTCGGCATCCCTGGGGAAGTAAGTTCCTTGAGGAGCGCCGAAATTCTGAGTGAAAAGGCAACAAAAACTGAAATCCCATGCGGTGTCAGCATCCCTAGGGAAGTAAGCCCCTTGGGGAGTGTCAGAATTTTGAGTGAACAGGCAACAAAGATAGAATCCCATGCGGTGTCAGCATCCTTGAGGAAGTGAGTCCCATGCGGGGTTGGCATTCTCGGGGAAGTGAGCCCCTTGGGGGAGTAAACTCCTTGAGGAGTGCCAGAATTTTGAGTGAGAAGGCAACAAAGATAGAATTCCCATGTGGTGTCAGCATCTTTGGGGAAGTGAGCCCCTCAGAGAATGACACAATTTTAAGCTCATAGCCACCATAGCAAATCCCGTGAGGGGCGCCATAACCTCAGAAGAGAAGGCCACAAAATTAAAAGTCCGTAAGGAGACGACTCTCACCAGAGGATAGCGCCATGCTGACTGAAAAAGCCACAGAAAGGATGCCCATCAGGGATGTCATATTTTTTAAGTGAAAGGCCACAGATAATGACAATCCTTGAGGTGAAAGACGAACTTGAAATCTTATTGATTCTTGGCATTTTAGGGTTCAGCAAGCACCATAGCTTTGAGCGTGTCTAAATTTATAAGTGGATAGATTGTATATTCGGCGGCTGCATCATGACACATACACGCGAAAGCAGCCAATAAAACTTCGACTAGATATACTTTCCAAAAAGAGCTTAGTGATGATTTCAAATTAACACTAATTTACAAGTCTTTCTTCTATTCCTGCTTCTTCTCAAGTTTCTCTTGCTTCCTCTTCTTCCCTGCTCTAGTCTTCTGATATTTCATGTAGTTCTCGCACGTTGTTCGAGATGGAGGTGGATAATGTTTCTCCTGTTTCTGTAAGAGCTACGTCTTTCCGGGGCTGTACGCATGGCACTCACTATATCTTTGTCTGGTGGTGGAAAGTGGCTGTTCGAAGCATCAGACTTGTTAAAATTAATTGTAAAGTACCGGTTGTCTTCATGGATGAGGAGGTAGACACCTTTGCAGCGACAGTCATCGAAATAGCTACGCAGCATACGCTGCAGTGTGCCTTTCCGTCGGTAACGCATCTGCACGAGGCTACTGTGCTCAGCCCATGGCTTCTTGACACGCTTTGAGCCTGATGTTTGCATGGTGTAGCATTTAATTCCAGTGTAGAAGAAGGGACTTAATTATTATCACTTGATATTATGGGGAGAGGGCTGGATATATAGCTACGAAGTGTTGCTGCGTCGAACCAAAAGTCGCGTTTTGATTGTGTACTTTTGTCGAATGTGACTAGTCGTTATGTCGCGGCGCTTGTATGCTTGGCCACGATCTGCGATCTGAAACTGTGGTCCACGCCATTTTGATTCGCGATTGAACTCGGCCACGCGATCCGAATACATGGCCACGCTTTGCAATCCGAAACCGTGGCCCTCACCATTTTGACTCAATTTTCCACTCGGCCACGATCTGGACCATTTATGCTAAAAGAGAATACGAAAGAAGGAAAAAATCCTTATAATAAAGAACTTTTAATGATAGTTATAGCTTTTAAATATTGAAATACAAAACCCGAAAAAGAAAAATAAAACATAAATTAACGACTGCAGCCCTGGATTGAAGCCGAGTACACTGAGATCTAGCAACCATTACACTAGAAAAGCCATACGCGAAGAAATAGGTCAAAAAAGCTGGAAGTGTCCTATTCGAAATCACACCGCGCGGAAGATGGAATTCGTTAGTCTGTTAGTCTGAATGAAAGGTAAATAAATATAGAAATCGAATTGCAGAAATGCAAAATTGGAACAACACTTCCATATGCCAAGAAACGGCTAAGCCTTGCCGCTTGTTGGATGTGGAGGCGTCGGATTGTTAACCAGGTACGATGAAATGCATTGCGCTAGTCCGTAATAGGAATAGCGAACCTAAAAGGCAACCTAAGCTTTAGCCGCTAAGAAGCGGCGCCAGCCGGTTCACACGGAAATGATGGCCTTGCCAACTGGTCCAGTATATGTTTTCCCTCTTCTTGTCACTCCTTGTTCTTCAATGCAAAAGAGGAGGGACGAGAAGAGTAACTGAACCGGTTGACAAGAAATAGGAGAGTGAGAACTCCATTATGTTGCTCGGAGCATGCAAAGTCGATCCCACCAAAAGACAAGGGCGCCAAGCCGTGATTGCTTCCATCAGCCATTTCCACAAACTACATGACTGTCAAATCGTGTATGCTGATCAAATCGCACAAAACATCAAAGATGAAATTGCAAAATCACAAAACTGCAAAAATTGCTTTTTTGCACAAGTGCAGAAATACAAGCGCACAGCTTGTCAGTCAGAGCTGGGCCTTGCGAAGCTTTAGCTGTCTTCCATTTTGTAGCTGTGGTGTACATGAAATGTCACATCATATACAATCTAGATGGTAGTCAAGGTCCTCCAGCGGGTACCCAACTCCTAGAAGAGGGGAGAAGCGCCCACAGGGGAGGGTGGGCTGTTAACTTTTAGAAGAAGTTAGCTTTTAAATCCATGGGGTATATATATCCCATCAAAATTCAATTTTGAGAGAAGCTTCGCAATCTTGAACCTGGTTGAAAACAGCAATTTCCATCACAAATTTAATGAGAAAGAACCCATCCGAAAAAAAAATGTCACCTCCCAAAACAAAAAGGTGGGCCGTGGATGACATCATAGGTAGAGGGCTGCTTCTGCTCTGAGGCTGCTTCTGCTCTGAGGCTGCTTCCGCTCTGGGGCTGCTTCTGCTCTGCGGCTCCTTCTGCTCTGAGGCTGCTTCTGTGCTTGATTGATTGATTGATTTATTCATAGACTGTCCCAGCCGCCCTCAGGCAGCATGCAGCGTACTACTATCAGGAGTTTCTGCTCTTTTCCTTGGAACTCAGTTATTCTTGGTAGAAACTCCCAGTTGGTACCCGGTTATTTCTGCTAGAATTACTTCTTTTCCGCCTGAGCTTCCTCTATCTATAGTCTTCCCATCAGTTCTTATCCCTGCCTTGTTAGGTCTTTCCTGACCCTTCTCGACTTCTGACTACTGGGTTTACACTCATATGCTAGTTATATTGAAGTACCTTGGACAGGAATACACGTGTCCCGAGGGAGTATTGGAAATGTCTTCTACAGGATCTGATATAACTCTTGAATGGAAATCAGGAGCTCAAAAATGTAAATGAAAATAAATAAGATGGGATAAAAAGATGACTGTCAAATCATGTATGCTGATCAAATCGCACAAAACATCAAAAGATGAAAATTACAAAAGTGCAAAAGTGCAGAAATGCAAGCCCACCACACCTTGCCAGTCATATCAGCGCTGGGCCTTTGCTAAGCTTTCTCAATGGAGTTCTCACAGTCCTATTCCTTGTCAACTGGATCGGTTACTCTTCTCGTCCCTCCTCGTTTGCATTGAGGAACAAGGAGAAGAGGGATATACTGGGCCAGTTGGCAAGGCCATCATTTCCATAAGAACAGGCCATAACATTCTAAAGAATAGGAGAATATTTCCACTAGGAATGGCACCGAGCATGACCAGGTCACCAATTACTAAAGAATAGGGGATATTCCCTGGAGAATGGTGTCAAATTGGGTAGGTCTGTGCTTACAGTAACCTTAACTCCTATCGCTGGGCAAAGGGCTGGCGTCTGGAAGGTTCTATCTATGACGTCATTCACGGCCCACCTTTTGGCGGTGTTGCTTGGAGCACGCAAAGTCGATCCCACCAACAGACAAAGGGCGCCAAGCCGTCACAAGAGGCGCCCTTAAGGAAGCCAAGACATAGCTTTAGTGAGCGCTTGGCGCGCTCCTGCCCCTGATAAAAGGTATGGTAAACCAACCACGTACACCAACCAAATCACGGCTTGGCGTCCTCCTGGTCCGGACCGCGACGGGCACAGCAGAGCGAAAATGCTAGAAAACATCGAAAGCGAGATAGACCAGTTACCGCTGGCTGCGGTGACCCGGTCGATGTCGAGAAGTGTGGTAAACGACGGGGAACAGCCGAATGTGGAGCCTGGAACCAAGGATGCAACGTGGATCAACTTTAATTCGACGACGCGCCAGTATGCGACCCAACCAAAAGCGCAGAAACCGACACGCAAGCGGAAGAAAACCGACGCCCTCACGGCTGTCCAGCTAAATGGCACCCCAAACATTGAATTTACAGGCAACAGCGATGGACGCCCGAACAAACTTGACGAAATTGCATGGCTTATAACCGAGCTGAAAGGAATAATTGCACAACAAGGCCAGGCGGTGGAGACTCTCAAAACATGCTGTGAAGAGTTAAAAGCAGACCAGAAAGAGTTAATCAGGCAAAACTCGAGCCTTAAAGATGAGATAACTGCTCTGAGAACCCAGGTGACACATAGACCGGATCAACGATCTTGGGCATCAATTGCCTCCAACGGCGGAACGAATGGCGAATCCTCAACCCCTCCACCGGCCCCAACGCCCGCGCCTACAAAAGCTGACAGGAAAGACCCCCCGCTCTGCGTCCGTATCAGTGCGGCACAGGCTCCCGACCCCATGGAATATGGAGGGTCCCTCACAAGATATCTCCCCGTGGAAGAGGTCAAAGCGAGGGTCACAGACGCCCTACAAAAGAATACGCCAACCGAAGGAGTCGAGATCATCGGGGTAGGAACCACAAAAACAGGGTACATCATCCGCTTCCGGGATGAAACCTCCAGAGACACTGCCAGCGTGAACGAGGGGTGGCTCCGGAACCTGGGAAGCCAAACAAAGCTGGTCAGACCCAGATTTGGTGTGGTAGTACACCGAACACCCACACATGAAGTCGACACCGAGGACAAACCACAAAGCATGAAGAAGATAACAGAGGAAAATGAGCTCGCCCAAAAGGGATACAAGGTAGAAGAAATCGCATGGCTCAAGAAGAGGGAATCCACGCTGGGCGCGTCGGCATCACTTGGAATATGGTTCGATAGTGCGGAAGCTGCCGAATGGGCGGTAAACAATGGAATGGTGTTTGGACATCGATATATAGGCAGCATTGAGGCATATCAGATCAAGAAGAAACGATGCCACAGATGCCTGGCCTTCGGCCACCTGGCCTGGAACTGCAAAGAGAGACTACGATGTGGTTTCTGCACGCGAGAGCACAACACAGCTAACTGCCCTCGAGAGTCGACTCCTAAATGCGCAGACTGCGCAGAACGCCACCCGACAGGAGCAACAGAGTGCAAATCGAGAGCCAATATCACCAGCCTTCAATGTTAACACAGAAACTGCGGATTTTACAACTGAACGCCAACAAAAAACGTTCGACCATGGAAGCACTCCTCAATGACCGCAAAATTGGAGATTTGGAGGTGCTACTCGTACAAGAACCCCCTTTCACATATTATACAACACCAATACAACACCCACATTGGAGGGTGTTTCAAACATCATGCACCGAAACACACGCCACGGGGCGCAGTCTAATATATGTCAACAAGCGCATATCAACCTCGGCATACCGGCAAAGGCGGTGCCACAGCCCCGATGTAACAGCAATCGAGCTCCAGATAGGAGAAAGCCAGATCTTAATTTTCTCCACATACATCCCGCCATTCGACCCGGCAGACAACCCGATACACCAGACCTTAAACGAAATCAGCCGGACAATCCGGCTCTCGCCCGCAACCACATTGATCATCGCAGGGGATTTCAACCGACATCATCAGATGTGGGGTGGAATCCAGGTGAACCGAAGACGAGCCCGAGACACCGGGGGCCTCCTGGACTTCATACAGGCTCAAGAACTCCATAGCTGTCTCCCACCTGGCACTGCCACCTTCTGGTCAGCGAGCCACCCAGGCACACACTCCACACTCGACCTCACACTCAGTAACGTCCCACACCAGTTACTCAAATGCCACCCCTACCGAGACAACTACGGCTCCGACCACCTAGCGATCTACTCAGAATGGGATCTGCAACTGAAACAGAAAGATCCAAGCCAGCCACGCAGACTTTTCGACCAAGCGAACTGGGAAGAGATTGGCAAAGCTGTAGAGAAGGCGATCCCTACACCACGGATCGAATCAACAACTCAGCTGGATGGAATAGTTGGCAGATTAATCACAACGACAATAGCAGAAATAGACAAGCACACCCCGCACGCAAGACCATCTCCTTACGCCAAACGCTGGTTCAGCCGCAGATGAATTTGATAAGATAAAAATATTAAATTTGGTGATCCCGGCGATCCGGCGATCTGGCGATCTGGCGTGGTTGGTACGGACCCACATAGTTTTGTAGTGATCAAGGCAGTAAGTCTCCAATGCGTGCGAAGGCGTCTAAATGTATTCCTTGTTGATCCATGAAAATCCCCAGATGTAATCAACAGAAAACCCGTGCTGTGGCCCTTCGTAAGAAAACAAGGACAAAAAGGACCAGACAGCCACCCAAGTTACAAAAAGTAAACGCCCTCAAAATATTATGTGGGGTAGATGTGAAGAGCGGGAGACTACAAGATGGTAGACGAGATCAAAGAGCGTAGAGAGAAAGGAGGTTGTGACAGTACACAGCTAAAGAAACGAGGAACTCCAGCGAAGGCTGTGTGTTGTGTAGGTCCCCGAAGCAAAGGAAAATATATATCGCAGCCGAAAGCGCCATGCTGAATCTTGGTTCCTCTTGGCGCAGGGCCTCCTTGGATATTTCCAACGAACGTGACTGCAAGGTGCCCATGTTTTCGGCCCTGCGATCGAAAGCATACCTCAAAACCATGGAGTTCATTTTTCTGTTAGAGGAGAAGTTCCCACCAGGGAGTAGCACCCACAGTGCAAAAGACACTACTGAATTCGTTGTACAACAAACAAGATATTTCAATAATTCACACTTATTCTCAAGTTTCCCTTGCTTCCCAACTTCCCCCTCTAGACTTCTGATATTTCGTGTAGCTCTCGCATGTTGATCGGGGTGGAGGGGGGTAATTCCCCTGTTTCTGTAAGAGTTACGTCTTTCCAGGGCCGTGCCGGACATGGCACTCACTCTATCTTTGTTGGTGGTGGAAAGTCGCTGCTCGAAGCATCAGACTTTGGGAAGAGATCTCAATTTATAGAAATAAGGTGGGCTCCATTGAGCCAAAAGTCACTTTTTAAAATATCCAGCAATTCAACTTTGAAATCAAACTAGCCAACTCAATCTTGAGCCACTAGTCAGCATTCTGGGATGACGGGGGTGTATTGTAATGAATAAAGCAACCAACCAATTAGATGAAGGCAAAAGATATTGGGTTGTTAACAAGACTTAGCGCAAGAAAGAAACTCTCGTCTATCGAGTTCAAAATACTCCTTAGGTTCTGCCTTCTCCTCGTCTGATATAGGAACGCCGGCAAGTAACGTATTCATATGCCTCATATATTCCCTGTCCTGATAAAATCTTGAATCCCTATACATCACCTGCGGGGGTAAATTCTTTCCCACCGCACTCACATCCACACTCTTCTGCCAACTCCAATACTGTTCTGGCGTTTCACAGAACTTGCACTGGCAAGGATGTCTCGGATGTGGGAGCGGGCCTCCCATGAGTGGCTTCCCGAAGCCGCATGACATGGACGCGGTGCTGAGCTGCAACGTTTTCTTAACGGCCCAGGGATCCCACTCAGGTGGTGCATCTTCGGGGTGGAGGTTGAAGCAGCGAGCTTGGCCGTGAGGGATCCAGTGGTTTTGGAGGTGGCAGTTGCTACACCAGTGGCCTCGTGGTAGTGGAAACCGCGGTTGCTTCATCGACGAGCTTGAGAGATTATCTCATGGGGAAAATTTATGGGTCTCAGAGTGAGCTAGGCTGCCTTTTTGCCTTTTTGCCTTTTATACCCCCAATCGGAGGACTGGATTGACGGCTGCTGGATTGACGACGGGCGACTGGATTGACGTCCGGCTAGGCCGACATTGGATTGTTTACCTGGAGGGAGATAAACCAGCATCAATTATGTAACAGCCGCCATAGGTTAAGAAGTGTACTGGTTTGCCTGCCACAGAACCTGCTAAGGTTCGTACCTACGGGGTACTTCGGTCAAAAGGCATAGACCAGTGAAGGGCCTGGTGACTGTGCTCTATGTTTGTATTTGGTACAGGTCAGTCGGCACAGGTCAATCTAATCTATGCCGACTAACCCATATTTGGGTAACAGTACCAGCCTTGATCTGGATTAGTCAATACCACCCCTCGGTTGCCCGTGGATGCTCATGCACCGAGTTGGGTTTAACTAACTTATTAAACTTTCCAAAGAGGAACAAAAAGACGCATGTACGGAGAAAAAATCAAACAAGGTGGGCTTTGCGCCAGATAGAGAACAGTAAATCATATCCCGCCCCTCATTCACCATGGCTATGTCTCTGTTTCATTCTTGCTACTCTATCCTGTAGAATTTCTTATTCATAGCCGAAGCCCTACGTTATTGTGGGCAAGTTCCTTCGTTTTGGTTGATATATCCATCGTCAACAAGGCTGGCTGATGTTTTCCTCCTTTTTCTTTGTCTTGGACTGGCATCAGACTTGTGTTTACATATCTCCTTAGCAATCTCTGGAGATCTGCACGTGAGTTCCTAATGTCGTCGCCGCCGCTTTCCACAGTTTTCCTGGCCTGCAGCCCAAGCGGGTTGCATGGTTCTCTTGGATTGTGGCTCGGTCTAATATCACTGTGTCGGTTAACGAACTTCAATTTAGGATTGGATTGCAACTGTACCTGATGGGTTTTGATCGTCGACTCCAGGAGCGCAATATACGAAAATAGGGTCCTGGCGTCCGCGAGGATTACTGCACAGTCAAAGCCATCTAATTTATGGATATGCCGTCTCGTATATTCTTCCAGCCTCTTCCGGATGTAGCCCACCTCTTCCTGACTTAGAGGTTTATACATTTGCTGAAAAGGCATTATCGGTTGGCTCTCTACAAGAGCTGTATGGATTGATCGAGTCCAATCTGCTACAGGTCTCGAGCTGGAGATTCAGTGGATTTCTGGAAAGAATGATATGGATGGCTTCCCCGGCAGCGCTTTTTTCACGTCCACTGGGCCGGCCTCTGACCCCTTGATCTTACGAGTTCGAGTTGTCCGGGTACTCATGATAAAAATGTAGCGTCGGATGGTTTGCAAAGCTGGGGTGGTCTTTGTGAGGAGAGAAGGGAAGATGAAGCAAAGTGGGAGGAGCTGGCTTTATATGCCTCAAGCCATTTTGAGGGAAGCCGGCTATTCCCATTTAGGATTAATACAATCCGATCTACAGAGCTTCTGCGAGCTTACCTAACGTATCATTCTTCCGTTTCAGCATACTTGTCACGTGGTAACTTGGGTGACTTACTAGTTACCTAATTAATCATGAACTTCACGCAAACCCTTTTCTTCATGTCTTTGATCCCTTCCAACACTAGTGTACTGGGCCAGTTGTGTTTAATCGACCCTCAGAGCTTTAAATGATGGTATTACAAGGTTTGCTCAATCAAATCCCTATCACCTAATGAGACAATGCTAACGCCATCTTTGTTCTTGAATGGCTATTAGATTTGAAATCCATCATTCTTCACACTCGATTTAGAATAGCCCGGTCAATCTTTGGATCCCTAGGTCCAACTGTTGTTAAGGTCGGCCGGAAGCATGTTATTAAAGGGCCGTGCCAGCTCCCAGAACTTGAAGCGCTTCTCTACATCTCAGAACACACCACAATTCCCGTTCCTCGAGTGCGGTGTTCATACAATGGACCAGGGGGCATATATATAATGATGGATCACATTCAAGGTACCGACCTTGAAACTCTGTGGATGCGCGGCCTGAAACCCAAGGAAAAGGAAACCATTCTCAATGATATTGCAACTATCTTGACTCAACTTCGAACACTTCATCCCCCCAAAGAAGGAGTGGTTGCGTCCGCGCAGGGTGGTGCCATTCTTGATTACCGTATTGGGAGTCAACTAGTCGGCCCATTTCAGTCTCATTCCAGCTTCCACTCTTTTTTACGGGGTGGCGTTCCACTGGAAAACACGGCTCAGGTTTTTGGGGAAGATATTGCATCTTGTCATAGCAACAATTATCGGACGTTCTTCTCGCATTCAGATTTGGCCCCGCGGAATATTATCATTCGCAATGGCAGAATTGTGGGAGTTGTTGACTGGGCACTTGCAGGCTGGTACCCAGAATATTGGGATCTAACAAAGGCATATTACACTTCATTCAAGGTGCCGGACTGGCCCGAGAGCATCAAACTTAAGCTTCCTTCATATGCGGACGAGCTCATGGCAGAACGCCTTCTTTGGAGACTCTACGATGAACCAGGAAATGTTTCGCGCAACTAGTTTGTCTATTTATAATCACAAACATTGCTTGGACTAGGGTTGGCCAGGCATTGATTGGCATAATCCAATATCCAGACTTTGAATTCTTCGATATCAAAGTTCGGTATCACTGATTCATTTTGTAGAGTGGATATGGCATTCCAAACCCAATGGCGACATCTTTCTCCTGATTCCTTATCCGGCAGAGCAACACCCCTGAGGATGGTTTCGAGATCATTTTCTGTCGTTTGCGGAGGAACTTTTCCGATCATGACCCGACCGACTAACCGCCCACTGTCCAACGGATTCACGTTGTTCTTAATCCTGAAGAACCAATCTCTTTCCGAGTTCAGGTCTTGCCCAGTTTCACCATCCAACCGAACGCCGTCCGAAACGTCGTATGCCATGTTGTCGCGGCCGTTGGACTTCTTAGGTGCTAACAAAACTCCCCAGTGGTATGCACCGTACGTCTTGCGTATTCCCTCTTGAAGAGACATTTCATCTCGGTGGTGAATAGAGATAAATAGGCGCTTTTTATTGCTCATATCTGTACCGCAGCGTTCAAATTCATTAGACTGATGCTTGCACTCTAGTTAAAGGGCCATTTCTTACTGTAGAGGTCTGGGGATGGAAGACTGCTATAAGCAAGCTCAGTTGGAAGTTTGCCTGTTCGAGAGCATATCACCTTGTCACTGATCAAATGCCAGGGTGGTATGATAGTACTTATAACAGCGGCACAGTACCATTTACCAATACAGATGGGCCAAGTGGCACATGTCTTTCAGCATGGATGTATGCAGGCAGCGAACAATTCTTCCTTCAAATCATGTTGGTAAACTCAGAGGAGCAACTGGTCGTCTGACAGCTTGCAGCCAATGACAAGTAACCGCCATGCCAGGGCCGCCGGGAATAGCTCGTCCCGTGCGTTCCGGGCCGTTCCGCTCACTAATGCATGCTGCTCAGCAAGATTCAGAGCGCGGAATGATCATCGCCTCCTCCGCGGGTAATTGTGAGTCATGTTGCCCTTGTCCAATTGTGCGGTGCCACGTACATACAATTATTGGAGCCAGGAACCCGCACATAACCACCTCCATCGACTTGGAGGGGAACTCTTAATACCCAATGGGAGAAAAGTTTCTACTTTGGTCGTAGTAAGCCTTCACTAGCCAGATCGAGTTGAAAATAATAATCCCACTCTTCAATAGACGAGGTTTGTCTAGGAAAAATGTTTTTCCAGGTATCGGGCCCGCCCCCTTTTTCGGTCAACCCTTCTCTTCGCCTGATCCCCTTTTCGGCTCGCCTTTCGGCTCGCATTTCTTTTTGGGTCACACTCCTTTCAACACGTACGTTTAAAGATGTATTTAGGAACTAGCTACGAGGCGAGTACATGGGAGGGGTGTGGGCGCAAAATGTCGCCTTCGCTGAGCCTCCGGCTGGTATCGATGATTGCATTGGCTGCTCTGAAGTGTTGGTCGTGGATCCTGCTTCCTCACGGATAGACAGGCTTGTCTGGCTCATTTCCGGGTGTGTTGTCACCGCTCAGGGCGGCCAGGACGGACTCGACGTTGCATTTATGTTTTGCATGGCAATCGATTCCCGTTTTGCGGGTGGTTCCCAGTGTTGGAATGGGGAGGCGAGGCGTTCTCCAAAGATGCAGCGGTCTATCCACAAGACTCCCTCCACTCTGTCCGTTTAGAAATAGGATCTAAAAAGTCACTAACTTTCAAAGATTATTGAACTGTCCAAAGGGGAAAAACGCAAAATCATGGCGAAAAAATCATTTTATCCGGTAGCGTTGTCAATAGATACAGCTCCTGAGAGTACAAATGCATTTCATGCCACCTCAGGGAGACAAGAGGAAACAAAACAAAACAAATTTCCGACAAACCCGATCCCAACTTTGAAGGCTAATGGCAGAATTGCTTCAGCGACCTATATCCATCTTCACCAACATTCTCCGACCGCAGCCATTGACGCCTCCAGTGCACAAAGTAAACCACTAGCTCATCAGAAATACCCCTCTTTGTCACAGATGAAATATGGTCCAGGAGGTCAGGGATATCGCATTCAACATCCAAGAGACACGATGCCGGTCCATTCTGTTGATAGTTTCTGTATAGCTCTTCCAGCTTTGATCTTGCTGCTTCCGGATCTTGAAAGTTCCATTCAGACACCCAAACGCCTTCGGGCTCCATGGCACAGAGATACTCATTTTCGCCATGACGGTCGCAGTATCGGCTATCGATCGGAGCATGGAAAGTCCAGTTATCATCAAAGATGTCGTTTATCGCCGAAATTTCTTCGCGGTCAAAAGCAGTGTCCGAGCCATTGTTGAGGTGGACCAACCGACGGCAGTGATCAAAATCCTCTACCTCCCTGTTAGTTCCATCGAGTCAACGAGTCGTATGGACTTACCCCCGTCGTTTCCACCCACACTTTCTGGGGAGTTTCGATCCAATGTTACATCGTCAGATTGGCGGGGTATATCCATAACTTCATCATGACCAGATTCGACCTCTCTTTCTACCACCACACTTGACGGGCTGTGAGGGTCTTCGACGGTACGAGGCTGAGACCGTGTAGCTATAGGATTAGGACGACGACGGGGACGCAGATGTTCATTGTTTCCAGTTTGAATATGAGAACCACCTCCAGGCTGATTTTCATCAGAGGGATTGCCATGTGAATAGCCCGCTGAAATTCGACGCTCCTCATGTTCGATGACAGCGGCAGGCCGTTTCTTGCCTGTTGGGGTGGAAGGCGATGGGTTTCTCAAGGTGTTCCTTAGGCAGACGGTTTTTAGATGTACCCTCAAATTGTCTGTTTGTGCAAACGACTTATTGCACACTGAGCATTCATATCTTTTTCCGGTGTGTTTCTTTCCATGGTGTGAGGCGAGACCGGGGGTGCTGAATGTTGACTTGCATGAATGTGCTGCAGTGTGTGGACATGGATATTTCTTTTGCTGCTGCGCGCATTAAATCAGCCAGAAGTATGACCCATAAGCTGGAGAAATCTTACCCTGTGTGGAAAATTGACCTGGCCCTGGGTTATCAACGGAGGCTGAGATATCTTCTCTGTGAATGCAACGGCAGCGATCACTTTCCTCTCTCCCTCATCTAGAGGATTCAAAAGCGATCGGATATCCATTCTCAACAATTTGCCACTGTCCTGACAAAGAATAGTGAGAACCGGGTTCACTGGGATCAGGGTCAATAACGATTCATGTGCTGAAGACTCTTGTTCAACCTTGTTTTCTCTTTGCTCTTTGTCACTGGAGAATATTTTGATGAACTGAACAGATAACCACCAAGCAAGATAAAAGGAAGGGTAAAAACTAGAAAACAGCTAAAAAGTCTTTGGAACGGGCCCGAGGAGAGATTGGTCACTTGTTTTGGATCCTGTGATCCCATGCCGGCTAGCATTGTGTATGCACAGAGTAGAAGATGAGAGAAGAGTGGAAGTAAGGCCTCTCTTTATGGAGTCTAGCGAGAGACAAGGTTCAGAATGCAAGCCAGCCTTATCTTGACCGCATTTGCTTCCCGCCCGGGGAACTCAGACTGGGCCCCTGAAATTTGTTAGCATGGAACATACGGTTCGGATTCGCCCAACCCAACTTGGGACCAATATGTCCATGGCCATCCATACCCAATAGGCTATGAATGTATAGGAGGGCTGAGGGCATTGACCATATTTACATGCCCCAGTAACATTTTCACCAAGCTGGCCATCTATGATGATACAGCCAAACCCGGACTGATCCCCGAAGCAAAGAATTCGTGGCACAGCAACTGCAGCTGGATCACACTGGTAGTCTCAATCATTGGTCTGGTTGAGTTTAGCAATCAGGCAAATTATGAGGGAAGATACTGCTTTTTTCAGCCCAAACCACACACGACCAAACCCGGAATGCTCTTAGAACCTATATTTCTCAAATCTCTTTCTGCCGGGGCCAGCGCCTGGCACGCCTGGCGCATGCAGCCAAGTTCATGCAGGTCTAAATGACAAGATCCCTTCTCATGTTTGTGCAGCGGAATCTTCCGTCGGGATATGCACTCATACAAGCCACGAGTTGCAATTGATTCTAGCGGCGCATGCATGTAACAGGGCGCATGTGAATAACTAAGGCAAAAGGCCATGCTGCTACGGGAGCAACTCGCTATGTCTGGAATTTCTAATTTTCCGGATGTATTTACTAAGATGGATCTATTTTTGGATAACCAATCATTTTCCTTTGATTTAAGAATAGCAATGGGTAAACAACATGAAAATAATTCGGAACTATGAGTGTCCCGGTTTGTATATCAACTGAAAGCCCAGGGTTCACGGCCTCCTCGGAGTTCTCGGTATTGAAGTTCTAGTTCCACTCCACAATTCTCACACGCGTTGTCCAACAACTCGGCTTTGTCACTCCAATATTCGGTGTCTGATTGAATGGATACGAGCTTTAGCTCTGCTGCTGCGGTGATATAGTCTATCAGCAACTGGGGCAAGGTGTGTTGGTTCGCTTCATTGCTCGCCTCTTTCACGTAAAGACATTCCAATGCGGGAGGCAGATGATTGATTAGTGCTTGACGCGATACTAGAGATTCCGCCAGCACTTTGAGCGTGGTGAGGGTTGGCAGCGTGGCAAAGTTAAAAGCGGCTAAGTGCACCTCGCCATGAAGGTGGTTAAGGCGAAATGACCTAAGGCTGCTCAATTGAGATAGCAAGCGTGCGACGCTTTCATCCGCTGATGGGCTGGTCTCCCACCCCACTGTTCTCACCCATTCGTCCACCTCTTTGGTATCCTCTTTTCTCAGATCGCCGATCTCGAGCGTTTTGATGAGTCCAGCCAGGGTTGAATCTTTATCAACCACTGTCAACAATTTTAACGCCTTCAAATATCCCTTCTCAGAGGCCAAGTTGATTGTCTCATAAAGATATGGCTTGATTGAGGAGCGGAAGCGTGTGCAGGTATGGACTAGATGTGCGATGTCTGTAGTGTCCAGGTGGCCTGCAATCTGCCATAGCAGTTCAACGGGTAGTGCGGTGATGTTGGCCTGCATGTTTCGATTAGTACTTCTATTTATCTGGCGTCGAAGCTTTTTGGCCTTACCCATGTGGAAGATTGACCTGGCTCTGGAACGGACGTCCTCTCTCCCTCACGTACATGACAGTGCATGCTATCTTCCCGGGTAAACTGTTGGTTGCGAGAACTTCGAGGACTTGGATAACAACTTTTGTTCAATCCTGTTTTCTCTTTGCTCCTTGTGGCTGAGGAAATATTTTGACCAACTGGGCAGGCAACCACACTGCGACTTTTGCGACCATCCAGAGGGTAACCCAGAAGGCAACGCCAAGCAAGATAAAAGGAAGGGTAAAAACTAGAAAGCAGCTAAAAAGTCTTTTGGAACGGGGGCCAAGGAGATGGTTGAGATTGGTCACTTGTTTTGGATTCGGCGATTCCATGCCGGCGATGTTTCCGACGCATGTACAGAATATGAGATGGGAGAAGGGTGGGTGCAAGGCCTCTCTTTATGGAGTCTAGCGAGAGACACAACAAGGTCCAGAGTGCAAGCCAGCCTTACCTTGACTGCTTCCTGCCCGGGGAACTCGGATTGAGCCCCTGGAATTTGTTAGCACGGAACATACGGTTAGGATCTTCGCTTCGCCCAACCCAACTGGGAACCAATATGCCCATGGCCACCCATACCCAATAGGCTATGAATATATAGGAGGGCTGAGGGCGTTGACCACCATGCGCCAGTAACATTTTCACCAAGCTGGCCATCTACGATGGTACAACCTAACCCGGACTGTATAATCCCAAAAGCAAAGAATTCGTGGCAGAGCAACTGCACGTGTGTTTTTGCAGTGTAAGTGCCCAAACCACTCCTTGCACTTATTGCCTTGTTCGAATGCAGGCTGGTCACCCATGCTTGGACGCTTTGATCCCAAAGCTGCGCATAAGGATTCCGGGTTTACCAGACGCCTTATTGCTGACCTGGGAAACTTTTCACCACTGGAATTGAGGGATGGGCTCCAATTGCAACTGGTGGCTTGCACAGGTCCAGCGCTGATCTGGGAAACTATACACCGCTGGAATCGGGAGATGGGCTGCTCCCACTGCAACCTGGAGGCTGTACGGGTGCATATCCTGGCGGAAGATTCCCCTGCACCAACCATGAGGAGGATCTTGTCATTTAGGCCTGCATGAGCTTGGTTGCCTTGTTATGCGCATGCGCCCTGGCGCCGCTGGCCCCGGCAAAAGAGATTTTAGAAACGCAGGCAGCTTCTAAAAGGATTCCGGGTTTGGTAGTATGTCGGTCAAAGACTCCATCGGTAGGAATGAACTTGTCATTATTTTAAGCTCAAAGTACACATAGCCATTTTGCATGTTCGCGGCACATAGGACAAGAGTAAGGCTTTGCTTTGTCCATTCCGCTTGATTCTACATTCGGAAAACGATCAGTATTGAATAAGAAGACTAGGAGGACAAGCGCACATTTTTTATTTGATTTCAGGTTCAAGTTTAATTTTTGGGGATCTAGTAACGGCAATGATGAAGTGCGAACCTTGATATGTCATGTGAACATTCAAGAACATCATGGATTATTTATTTGGAGGGGTATTAATGCCAAATCAAAATAGCCCCTCATCACGTGATGAATGACGTCGCGCCACTATGCTGAGATAGAGCTTGGTTTGAATGGGCAGAAAGAAGTAATTACCGTATTGACGATATCGCGATTCCAATCTACTCCGTACATAGCCACTAATTACAAAAGAAATCTCATTCGCCCGTATCTTTTCCAACTAGTAACCATATGACCTAATTTTATTTTCTCGATAATCACCTAGCTCTAAATGAAAGAAAGACCAAACCCGGTAATAAAAAGCTAAATAGGACGTCAAGGCTGATAGGGTCAAATCTAAACCGTCGGAAAAATTATTGATCCGACGTGTGAAACGAACTAAATCTAAATTATCAGATAAATATTTCTATGCTTCTGATGAAACCCCCAGCTGTGAACTAGTTTTCAGCTCCGCACCTCACCATGCTTAACTTTTTTCAGCAATGACTCAATCTTTGTGCAAGAATATAAATTTGTGGTGGCGCAGAGCAAGACGCGGTTGAAGTATCATCGGCTGGTGCAATTGGCTCAAGCTCCCTAGCGGATTCATCGTGGTCGACTGCCTGAGTCGGTTGAAGGCTCCATCTTACGCATTCCAACAGGTTGATCTGGATCAGTTGACTGAGGAGCAGCTGATTCGCTCTCCTCCTCATCCTCTCCGGAGTCATCAGATGTATCAGAACCTATTTTCATTTGATTAACTGAACAGCTATACGTGAACGCTGTTGGAAGAAAAGGGTACACATACCAAGGAAACGTCCCCAGGGAAAAATGTTTGAGTAATGCCGGGCATCGGTAAAATTAACATGGAAAAACTGGCTGCAAAAATTAAAGGGCGTCATTATCAAAATTTAACATAGGATGGGTACATACACAGAGGCTCCGTCATTGCTTGTCCGCACTCGGTAGCAAAATAAAGGCACATTGTCTAAAGTTTGTCGTTGCTTAACCGATAAGTCTATGATCATCCAACACTTGGCATTTGGTTCAAAGATTGCGCTTGGTAGATGGACATAATCATTGTCATCGCTATACTGTCGTCCAACTTTGTCCTCAAAGAACGTGGTGATGAGTACTATGTGTCTGCTGCCTGGCTTTCCAGGAATATGGCTGGAATTGAATCTCAGTATAATCCGCGCGTCGTGGTCTCCGAAGTAGCCGTGTGCTCGCAGATGTTGTTCATTGTTTCCAACTAGGAGGTGAAAGCCACCGTCGGGCTGGTTTTCATCAGAGGCATTGCCATGTGAGCTTGCGGTGCTTGGTGGGGTGGAAGGCGCTGGGGTTCTGCGGTCGTCGAGGTTGAGGCGTTCCAATTCATGGTGGTTGGGCTGCTGCTGGGTGGGGTGGACTCCGCTATACCTTATTTGACGATCGGTAGAACCGCGGTCTTGTTGTTTGTCCATAGTCGGTGTGTTGTGCTTAATTGGAGAGGCCTCCGGGAAAGACCGCACGGCGAACTATATCAAAAATGGCTGACAGTGAAGTATATCAAAATACAGATCAAGACAGGGTCGCTCCTATCCCTTTATGCTTGCGGATAACAGGAAATGATGAAAAAATGAGCAGAAATCACGGGCTGCCAAGTGGCATAGCAATTTTTGGCAGCCCATCTCTTGATTGGGGTGCCGGTGCCAAAATCGCGCATGCATGTAACAAGGCGCGTAACAAGGCAAACGGTTCATATGGCCCTTCCCTTTGCATAAGGACAAGCTAGCCTGCGTTTGCCCAAGACAATGGGCTAGTGGTGATTGTCAAAACGAGCGAAAACATTAGGCATGATACTCGCTGCAGGGGCCATCTCCTCCAGCGGTGTATCGTTTCCCGGGTCGACGTAAGGCGCCGGTGCCAAAACTGCAAACCGAATGCATCCAAGCATGGATGACCAGCCAGCATTAAGGCAACGAGCGAGCGGACAAGATGCATCAATCAGGAAAACACAGCCGCCAGAGATCACAATCTCCGTCACCCCAGAAGATCCAGGGAAGGCAAACATGCGCTGGTGATGTCCTGGGCTGCTGGATGACAGGGCTTCGGATTTCTGTTGACAAAATATTAGACCGGCCGAGAAAGTGATAAAATACATTAGCCAACGCCAAACATCACAGCCACATCAGCGATACCCCAATCCAAGGAATCCAAGGAGTTAAAACCATTCCAAATCTCATCAGACAATGCACGACTTACGCGCCCTCGACTGGTATAACCGTCATTATTTTAAGCTCAAAGTACGCGTAGCCATTGTGTAGCCGCTAGCTTTATAAGTCAGGAGGATAGTCCAGAGTTCGCGCCCCAAGAACGGACCATATGCAGTTATTGGGGCTCGTACAAGCCATCACTTGTAATGGGAGCCCTTAATTCCAGCTGTGTATGGCTTAGAATTTGACATAGCTGAGGTTTTCATCAGCATCCGGAATTTCTAATTTTCCGGGTGCAGAATTTCTTCGTTGGCGCAAAGCAGAATGGTTCTATTTTGGGGTAACCAATCATTTTCCTTTGATTTAACAAAATTATCAACCAGGAACAAACGACTCTTATGTACAACAGAAAATCAAACAGGCCCTGCGTCGGATAGAGAAGAGTAAATACAGGCCATCAACATATCCCAAACCATAATCCATCATCTGGTAGCCTTGAACATGTGCAGTTCAGTTTTGTGGAATCCATTTGCTGAAACTCCCGCTTCGAGGTCCGCACAGGAAGGGAGCCGAACAGAAGGAGAAAGTGCGAAGCAATGACTAAAGGGCGGAGATTTGGCCTGCAGATCAAGTGACGCCCTCCTGCGATTTCCGCAAAGGACTAAAGATAATTCTCTACTCTTTCACTTTCGGCTTTTGCCCATATATCACATATAATTCGCGGTATATGCGAAGTTCCTCTCTTTTCAGATCATTTCTCACTTGAGCCAGACATACTTGCAACTCATCCATTGACCACTGAAGACCCTGAGTAAAAACCAGGATCGAAAATGCTTCCAGTCCACGCAGAATATCCAGAAGAGCAAAATTGCCCAATCGCTTCAGTTTATTGCATTCTGGCCATGGCCCTATTGGAATCTACTTCATTTTAGTGATGGGTCTTCATCGGATGTACGAAGCTTGACATACCTTGAATCTTTGAATTTTGATCTTGACAAAGCCAGCGTTTTCCATCCCCTGTGTGCAGATAGTTGCTCCGCAGAAAGGCTTTCTCAGTTTATTTCGGCCCTCTATGATATGCTGTTGCCATTCAAGTGCGTGTACGGCTTTTGTATGCGTCTTGTCATCTGAGAGGAAGCCGTGCTCAAGTGATTTGAGTTCAAAGTATCCACCAGGTTTTAAATGCTCAAAAGCATTTTTGCACAGTTGTTCACAGTTGGAGATTGAACCATCCAATTCCCGTCCATGAATGAGATCGAATTCGTCGGGCAATTCCCATTCCTCAAAGTCGTCAACCTCAAAAATGCAATTTGATGGAACCCTGGAATTAATCATAAGCCAGGGCATAGTTTATAGGGTGGGTACACTTCTTACCAGGAAGGTTGGATTGGGCTCAAATCATTTCCCCGAACCACCGCACTGGGATATTTGCTGCCATGGTGATTAGCCAGACCCAAATTGATATCCATGGACACAGGATTTACACACTCAGCACATTCTATTGCCCAGATACCCGTTCCCGTTCCCATATCAAGAATATTCTGAGGGCTATCACTTATGGGAGCGAGAAATAGTGCACCCAAGGCCTCTTTGTACATCTGATGCACCTGTGTCCTGGTCAGATTTTATGCAATGAGTATCAAGATTAATTCTTTACCATGTCCATTCGATCCCTCTCATGCTCATCATTCGGCTATCAACCAGTTAGTAAACATATTTCTCCACCGTAAAAAGAGAGCACTCACAAAAAGGTATTTCCCTTCACACCATGCATGATATGTTCGGCCGTACTGCTTATTTAGCTTGTGCGAGTCAAGTCTGTTTGGGGTTCTCTTACCCGAGTTCTGAGATTGTTAGCTGGGATAAGCATTTTTGATGTGAAACAGGGTCCTTACGGATAATCAGTGACACTTGGTGTGAGAGGAATTAAGTCTTCTTCCTCTAATTCAGAGTGGTAGTCACTGGTACTGCCCGCCCCCGCCCCTTCATCCTCTTCGTCCTCTTCGTCCCCTTCGTCCCCTTCGTCCTCTTCGTCCTCTTCGTCCTCTTCGTCCTCTTCGTCCTCTTCGTCCTCTTCGTCCTCTTCGTCCTCTTCGTCCTCTTCGTCCTCTTCGTCCTCTTCGTCCTCTTCGTCCCCTTCGTCCTCTTCGTCCGCTTCGTCCCCTTCGTCCTCTTCCTCCTCTTCGTCCTCTTCGTCCTCTTCCTCCGTCTCTACCCCATGAGAATGGTCCGTGGAAGGTAATATTTCTCTTGCTGTCCCAGGTCGACTAGGTAATTTGACAGCCATAGTGAAGAAAAGGAGGGATGATGAACATGGCTTTCAATGCTGTCCATGTTCGGGGACGGCTTCCCCCTATATGTATATCACACTATGGGGAATTTAACACTGGAAACGTCGTTAGTTCATAGATAGCGACGACAACAACGGGTCTAGACTTTGGAACTGAGGAAAATAATCTTAGCGGCTCCGTTAACTCAAATTTGGTCACATAATGCTAATAATCCAATCAGTTAGAAAAGAATGAGTGAAAATTGTACCGGAATACTGGCGACAAGGCGCCCCGGTTGTGCCGCTCAGACACAGATCACCGTCGTGGGGTATGCATTTTTAGCGTTGTTATTTCAAAACAGATTGGAAATAATGGCCTGCTTCTAGAGCGCTGATGATGTCCTCTGCTGTGACCATCGCGGGTACATGTACCAGTTATGGGATCAGTGCATGCAACCAGCGTGTAAATAGGATGCGTATCATTTTGAGCAGCTCAGCCGTCGATTCTTCGTATTCTCCCGCCAGCAATGAGGCGTTATATGGGTCCCGGCGTGAAAAATCATCATTAAGAGTGTGTATGCTAATAGGCGAATGCGAATGAGTGAAGAATTAGGAGATTGGATGGTACTACGGCAACCCTAAGACTTTGTACCTGAACATAAAATTAACCAACAACATTATCCTCCTGCAGTAGCAGACCGGCCGAGAAAGTGATAAAATACATTAGCCAACGCCAAACATGACAGCCACATCAGCAATACCCGAATCCAAGGAGCTAAAACCACTCCAAACCTCATCGGGCACCTTGAAACGGTATTGTCCATCAAGAAACAATGTCACAGTTAGGTTGTCATCCAGGGCGAAACCGAAAACAGTGCTCCGTCTCCAAACTTCTCCCGGCCATAATGGCAAGGCCGGACGCTTGTAGAGCACCTCTCGTCGAAATAGAAGTGATACACGACTTATGCGACCTCGACCGGTATATAACAGAGGTGTTGACAGAAGCCCTCTCAATCGTGTGGAGAGGAATTGGATGGTATCATCCAATCTCTTCTCAGACAGTTGCTGTCCTGCGTGTTGTCGGAGAATTTTTAACAGACAGAGCGCGTAGGGTAATGCCAGAGGTCCGTCAAATCTATTCTCAAAGAATGCGCTAGAGACAAAGTGTAGATGAGAAGTATGAGCCTTTAAATACTTTAGCTGCTCTTGAAGTACAGGCTCCGAGATGAAAACAATGAAAGCCAAGGGTACTTCTTCATTGCGGTGAAATACCTATTCAGAATTAGCATTGGCGATGTCAATTCCATTTGAATTCCATACATCACCACGGATATCGGGATATTCTGAGCGCCACTTAGCTTCGTCAATCGAGTACGACTCGAGATCGCGAACCTCATTGTTGAGAGTAGATTGAAGCGGGGGCTTGCCGTCACCAGTGATGGGATTAATAGGTTCAATATTCTTGCCTATGTTAGCTGGCTCTCCATCATCGATCGTTTTGAATAACATTTGGTGAGGTTGCCAAATAAGATAAGCAAGAGGCAACAAAATTTACGAAAGTGCTGAACTTACCATGATGGAAAGACAACTTGAAGCGGATGATCTTTGTGGAAGTCCGGTACTCTTCTTCGTGGTCCTGTGAGGCTCCCGTGGATAACAATTTGTATTTTGCTATATGAGTGTGGACGAACATGGCTATTCTTATAGCTGCTCGGAGCCTCACAATTAGATGATTGACTAAAAGATGCATGGCAACGGGCGAGCGTTGGTCACCAAAACAAGCAAGAGGGAAACATATAGCTTGATTTGATACTGATTGCAGGGGCTACATCGGGGTATGCAAAATGGCAGTTACGGGCCAGTGTGCAAATGGGATGAGCGATGGGTAGAGAAGAATAGTTAGCAAATAGAAAGATTGAATGTACAATCTTCTCGCCTGAGGGAAGGGCAAAATTAGCGCGTGTCTTTCTATCACCGCTTTTAATTGGTGTGTAACTGCCACTTCCGAACTTGTGATGGGCTAAAAAGGTGGCGGGGAAAATAACGCTAATTGTGCCTCACCCCAGGCAAGGATCCAATCGTCTGTAGTAGCTGCTGATGAAAAATCCAACTGTGAACTGATTTGCAGCTCCGCGCCTGGTTACTCTCCCACAGCAAGAATAAAGACAAGATGGAAATGAAACCCGAAAAAGAAAGAAGAAAAGAAAGAGAAAGAAAAATATTGTTATGGTATTAGAAGCACGAATTATTTACATCTCCAATTGGCTCGTGAAGGTATGTGCAGGCCAAGTACGCGATGAATAGTTAGCTAATCGAACACAAGGAAAATATCAAACAATGGGCTTTTCAGCATCCTGCTTTCGCTGAGATTGCGGCACAAAGCCACGGAGTTCAGAAAGCGGTTGAGTCGGATTTACAAAAATGGCTGGATGATTTTCATATGTTGTAAGAGAACTATGAAGAATACCACTCATTTGACATGCCCGGTGGCACTTCCGCTAGGATCTAAAAGTCTACCATGGCATTTTACCTAAGTGCATCATTATATATTTAAATTATGTCAACTGTTTGCCCACTTCAATCATTCTACAAATGTGCTATGTTGACATTCTCAGGTTCCATTTCTTAGCTCATCAAAGCCACCAACCGCCAATGGATATGCACGGAAAACGGCGCAAAAGTTCTTTCTTCCACTTATATAGCCGATTTCGCGAGGGACAGTACGGGGGGGCTTCAGGCTGTTTTTAGGCTGTTAGTGGAGCTCTTGTGTCATTCCATTGTAATAACATACTAATGTTTCCACCGGATTCAGATGTTCCCCCATAGTTCCTCAAAAAGATAGCTCCACGTCGGTGAAGGTGCTGAATATCTTCGAATGTAACAGCAGCACAAACAAAGTACCCATCAGAAGATGTGAACCTAAGAAGAAAACCTCTATTGTGGAGAGTGATTCCGGACAGAGTAGCTTCAATAGTGTGTGTATCATCAGCTTCGGGGAGAACACTTTCTCCAATATGATGAATTCTAAAGGAGCCTAAAAACTGGCGATAGATAATTTCCTTCCAATAATGCTCGCCTGTGTCGTCCGCATTTTTCATGATATCCAGTTCTAGGTTCAGAGCGTGTCCAATGTTTTGAATTGCTGCAGAGACGGATGGATTATGCGGGTTATTAGCCAAGAGAAGATCATGGTAGATGGCACCAGGAGGTTGGTATCGATTTAAGGAGTGTGTATGTCTGCCAGGCACCGACACTGCGTCGATGATCGCAACGTTCGTAATTCGGACTCTCGGTCTTGGGTCGCAGTTTATCTCAATCCCGTCCGCGGATTCCGCTGGAGTTTCGAGGACGCCATTTGTGTAGGATGTCATAATGATCACAAATGAAGAAGGTGATGGGGAAATAAGTTTGTATACATGGAATTTCCGGTAGGGAGGAAAGAAGGAAGACGGAAGAATTGATACCCAGCTGGGCCTGATTGTCAGACACCTGGTGAACAAGAAGCAAATGCCAACCAACAGTGTGGACAGCTTGGCCAGGGTCGTAGGGGGGAAAAAAAGTCAAATAAAAACACACTGAGAGATGGAGGGCTGTACAAGGGAACTGAGAAACTATATACAACGCCGACACCAGTCGCAGCATTCATGTATGGACATCCGCAAGTCCGTCCATAATCCAATCACAAAGCTCATAATGACAGCCGAGCCAACCTTCCAATCACATGTGCACTCCCCCCCGGAAGATTGCCTTTTGTTTTCCCACCGTAAGATCCGCCCAGGCCACGTATTCAGAGCTTCGGATGGGATAGTTATGGTGTGGGTATGTGATTCGGAAAAAGAGAGTGTAACAGTGCAAGGAAAAGTAGTCTTTTCACCAGTGATATGCAGGTGGCCATTACTAAATGGGTACCGGATGTATCGCATTACATCTCTGATATAACCAGCCTCAAACGCCATGGCAACCCCCGCCCACGAGCTCATAAGATCGGATAGTGAGGCTGGGAGTAACTTGCCAGTGCCTGCACTGACAAAGTAGCTGTCTCCACGCTTTAGAAGTTGGAGAACAGGGGCCGAAGCCTGGTTCTGTTAGCGAGGCTACCACAAATGGGGGAGGACATGTACCGTTGGCATGATCTCAAAACTAGAGGATTTTACGGGTGCTCCCTGCAAGCTGGCAACGGTGCTCCACTGAACTGTGCACTTGATTTCCACTGAATAGTCTTCCGTTTGGGCCCTTTCGATGGTTGTTATGTGCATTGTGGGGTGTTCTACCTCTGTGTCAGTGACGCTGCGAAGGTCGTTTGAACCTCAAACTGGAAGACCGATATGGCAAAAAAGTAATATGTCAACCAACTTTGTATGATAATAGTAAGCGCGCCCTTCGCATGCGGGAGTCTCCTTGCATGTAAGATCCGAGTGCGAACCAACGTGGATGAGCAGCCCGTATTCAAACAAGGCAACGAGCGAGCGGTGAAGCATCTCTTATAGTCAAAACCAGTGAGGTGCAAAGTTTGGCCTCAGTATCAAGGCAGTGATACTCTTGCATGAGGATGGCTCGGACTCAAGCTGGACATGTATATCGCGCTCGCTCTCCCAGCGTGATCGACGCAAGTTTCCCCGTTGGCTTGACATAGTCTGGCACACCTGGCTGCACTTTGCATACTCCTGGTCATCGGGCTTTGGTGTGGCGGCCAACATCTCGCTGCAATAGCCTGAGTGACGAGTACAACAGCAGCATCTGTATCTGTTGCTGTCCATATTGGGAAAGGAAGTCCAAAAAAGCTCATTTTCGGGCTCAATATCACTCTTGTCCGGAGTCTAGGCCATCACGGTGCAGCTGGTGCTCTTGGGGAACGGTGTTGGCTAGCAGAAATCGAGTAGTATCGGAGATGCTGTAGATGCCAAAGCAATTATTATACACCATCATTCAGCTGCATCGAAGCGCCATTCCTTGCTCGCCGCTCATGCGCTAAGCCGGATTCCAGCGATCATTTAGCTCGAGAGTTCTGAGCCAACCATTCTGATCCTCCAGACGAAGACAACAGGAACTTAAAGTTGTATTCCAAAACTAAGCGGAGGGCATCCTTGGCAATCATGTGATCAAGCTGGGGAATGAGGTCGTGCGGCTTGTGAGCAGCGTCAAACTTCGATGCGCATCTTCATCAAGACTCCATGGCTGACATTTTAGCTGCTCTGGATACTATTTGCAATGCGTCCGACGCATCGCTACAGAAGCATCGCGACAAGCTTGGTCAACTATTAGCCAGAACTGCGTCCCTCCTTGGGAAATCCGACAAGTTGGGTTACAAACCAGATAGCAACCCAACATGCGCCCCATCTCAGAACTCTACCCCCATACCTCGAGTCCGTCTCGCCGCTGACGATAATCAAGAGGTCCGAAGTCTACCAGTTATTGACGCCCGAGCCGAACCTTATGTTGGTGATGGCGCGATTTTGCAAGTGGAGAGACAAATTACCAGTTGCAAAGAGGAGAAAAGGATTCAGCATGTCACAGAACTGCTTGATGCCATCGAAAAGAAACTTCCTGAAATCCAAAAGGCCTATGAAAACGGCGCCTCGAACTTCAGTTACCCAGTATCTAGTGTGGAAGATTCTCGGGTTCTGGACTTCACCATTTGTTGTGGTACGAAGGGCAAGAGATCAATGAATATGCGAAGCCAGCGAACCCTGAGCATACTATCATTGACGAATGAATTCGTGGCCTGGGAACGCCTTACTTTTAAGCAGTCCAAGGTGACTTGTCAAATCAACGTGCTGTCCGAAAAAACTGACTGGACAGGAAACATCAACAAATTCTTAAATGAACGTCGCATAATCGACAAGGTGGCAGCGAGAAAGATGATCAGTGAAGGAACCAAGTCAATTGTCATTCAAGCACTTTCAGGCATTCCTGGGATTGCCGCAATTCTTTCAACCTGTCCTCGTTGGCATGAGATTTCTTACACGATGCTTCCTACATTGATAGAGGGTCTTCTGGTTCGAAATATATATGACCGTGCCGAAAAATATTCCGATTGGTGGGAATCATGTCAAAAAAATTACGATAATGGGTCGCGCCAACGAAAGCTGATGATACGGAAGTGCCATCCTTCACAATATCCCTCTGTCAATCGAACCAAAAGAAGGAGAATCGAGCGCAATGAAGGTAATCGTGCCGAGGGACATGGCGATCAAAATGTAAGCCCTGTCCATGTCAAGGGACACCTGATAACTCGCTCACTATCTTAGTATTCGCTAACAAAAATGCCCTGTATTAGTATATGCCGGAGCCGAATGGGAGTGTATCTAGCGAATTCAGACATAGCTTTTCACAAACAAAGAGCAGCGAACCACAAATTTTCACTATCGCGAGCGTAGCAGAGAGTCAGTCTTGGCCGATACTATACCCGCAATACCCTCTGTGCTGACATTATATATGTATAGGCGCCCTCGATCAAATCATTGACAATGAGCTTGTTCCACGGACTACCGAACCTTCCACCCAGCCTAATATATCACCAGTGATGGATTCTGTGGCGGATTCTGGCGGCAGCGGAAACATGGACAATCGTCCCCCTTTACTACAGCCACTGCATGGCTTTTCGGACGCCTGGACCGAAGGGCTTTCTCATTCGAGCCCCTACTCGGACAATGGTCGGCAACTGCTCGCGGCAGATGTACAGCAGCCACCATATGGAGTGTCAGATGGCTGGACGGATCTTTGTTCTACAGACAATGGTCGGCACCTGCTCGCGGCAGATGTACAGCAGCCACCATATGGAGTGTCAGATGGCTGGACGGATCTTTGTTCTACAGACAATGGTCGGCACCTGCTCGCAGCAGATGTACAGCAGCCACAGTATGGAGTGTCAGATGGCTGGACGGATCTTTGTTCTACAAACAATGGTCGGCAACTACTTGCAGTAGATGTACAGCAGCCACAGTATGGAGTGTCGGATGGGTGGACGAATCTTTCCGCAGGCAACCATCAACAGTCGGTTGCCTATGCATGCTCAGCGGACAATTTCAATATGGCGATGTGATTGAATTTTGGATGGAGGAATGCGTAAATGAATTTGCTAGCATTTCTTCGAACGTAAGACTTAAATATTTATTGGCAACCAGTGGACATGTCCAACACAACAAATAATGATATGCCCCCTCCTTTATCGCTCATAATCATATCATCATCTCCTGATATAACGATATACTCCCCATGATCTAATGATTTTGTATCATTGAAAACAGGAAGGCCATTGTTTTCATCCACATAATCCAACCCTATAATAACCAGGTGCTTTCCGGGGAATGGCTCTTCAAGTTTGCCACTCCTATCAGTCCAGACGATTGCATAATATTCGACCACATTCTCCAAGGGATCGCTTTTAAATGGCTTTCCTATTTGGCGAGACACGTGCTCGAGATTCACTTTATCCTATTTCATTCTTAGTATATTTCATGTTCAAGGTATGCTTGCTTTCCAAACCTGTAGCCATTGTTTAACCACCGGCTCGACGTCTTTTTCGCAGTCGGGAGGATAGAGCCAGGAGTACTTGGGGTGTGAACTCCGTTTCACTTTCGACCTCACTTTGGATGCCGCCCTAACGGCAGTGTCTTTAAGTGGCTGCATTTTATGTGATTAGCCGCTTATGCAGGGTCGCCCGTGCGAATCGAAGTATTGTATGTCTGATAGCACATTACTGACAATTAGAACTATGAGTAGACAGCAGCATTAATATTTTTCATTTCAGGCTAGAGTGTAAAGGTGAAATCAGCGCACTGAGGGTTCGGTTCCTCGAAAGTTAGGTGGTTCATGAAAACTTGCTGGACTCACCCGAATGCGTGTTGTTTGCCCAAATCCCGGCTCTACCTTCGAAAATGAAGTTTTTCTTTAAAGGGAGATACGCAAAGCCTTATCCCTTTTATCTTATCATCGCAAAGACTGACTGTAAGATTTTTTTTTTTGATTGTCGAGGAGGGGTAGTTGGATTTGGATTTTGGTGCCCAAGTCTGACTTATCTCGGGCCGCAAGTTTCTCCACGTGGGTCACCGCGGCGATTTCTTTTCTATGACGCAAACCCGAAACAAAAGTCATATGATGAAGGAACATACCTCACTACGAACACAACGGTCAATACCTAACTCGTAACCTTCGCTGGATTTACAGTCCTTGACCAGATTTCGAGAATCCTCTAGAGGCCTTGCACCCACTCTCCATTTCTTATTCTCTACCGCTACCCACAATGTCCCCAAGAATGACATACCACCCTGCTACGATCTCAACCACCAAACTTCCGCTCTCTGTACATTCAACCACAGTCATCACACCCGCCACCTACTCAGGAACTAGGTGATTATAACTCTCTTTAATCTCGAGAATGGGACTATTGAACTGGATGGATGAATCATTCAGTTGCAGTTTAATGTCTAGTTGGATGAACAAGAATTTCTTTTTTTCCTCGTTTTTTTCGCCTATTGAGTTTGATGACAAGCGAACAGGTGGGGGAGCTTTTAGCACATACGCTCTTGGCGCCTCGTGACCACTACCATAGGGAGGGCAGAAAGCAATGAGCAGCTGGCAATACCTGGAAAAACATTTTTCCTAGACAATGTCCAAGTTGTTTAATTTACGGAGGTCCCTTTGACCGTACAGAGTCCACGTGCCTTCGCTTCCCCCACCACACCAGTGGTTGATGTGCCACCCCTGAACGTAGCCAGCGGGTGAACTACATCAGTGTTTCTTACTTAAAAACCCAATACTGACTTTATATGTACGGTTATTGAATGGGCAAAAGAGATAATTACCGTATCAATCACGGTTGGATAACCTAAAACGGCAAGCATGTTGGCATGAGCTTAAGTACAGTGATTACTAATACCTGATGCGTTCTTTCCTGGCAGCCAGCACGCTCTTACCAGGTTGGGTGGCGTACATTAATCCTAAATGGTTTCAATATCTTGTTCGCGCTAAATTACCCTTCCGTCGCGACCGGAATAGGATTAATCTCCACCCGGTTCCTTGCTCAGCGGCTCTATCCATTCCCACATTCATGTCAAAATGGAATTTCTATTGACAACACGCCATTCAGCAACAACTGACTGAACTGGGCCAACTGGGCAATGGTAACGAAAGGTTACATATGACAGCAGTTGGGCAGGTTCTTGCGTTTGCACTTCGAGCAATAAGGACTACCCCCCATGATCAAAAATGGAAA